GGATATATATATATAATTAAATATATATTTTTGAACTAAGGCTCATTTAGCTACCTTAGCAAACTAATTATTATGGAGCTACAAAAATTACAATGAGTACCTAATAATGTTAGGAATATACTATGAAAGTTTCAAAGCCAACACTATCACTAATTTATCACAACAATTTCTACAAACTTATATTTTAATAATATTAAATATCTCAAATTAATTATATAACTCCTAAGAATACTATAAAACTATGTGAACAAAATATACTAGCATATAGATCGTGATTTTAGGAACCTAACAAAATTAGTTTCACAATTTTTGGTCAACTACACAAATTTCTATTGAATTTACAAGTTTGTCTTAGAAACTAAATTAGAAAATACATTACAAAAAGGAAAAAGGGCTGGTGGCGACTTAATCGCCCAACAGCCCAGCACGGGCGTGGCTGCGCACGCGTCGCGGTGGCCCAGCATGGCCCAAGGCCGAGGGCGCCCTCATGCGTTGGCTGTTTTGCAGAAAACCCCTCGAGCTTCCAGAGATTTATGCGAATGCTATGTGCGCTATTCCTACCGACAGTGGTTTTTCGATCAAACCCTCGGATATTTCCACCTTTACCACGGGGAGGTCCCTTGGGATCCCCGCGCACGCCGACGCGGCGGCCGATGGTATAAGGCGGTTACACGGGGCAACCTAGGTGTGTTATGACGGGATTAAGGGGATGACCACCATCTACAGCTAAACACACAAGGATGGATGGCGGTTAGGGACTCAAAGGTGCACTGTCACGGGCTACAGCGGCGAGTGGCTATCCACGACGGCGGCGTGACTGTTCTGGCGACCTAAGGTTCTATCGGGGTGGTAGGGATAGCGGGTAAGCACCAGTAGCTCACCGGAATTCATGTTGGGGTGACGTTTAAAGCGGAGGAGTGCCGAGGTGGCCTGGCCACGTGCGAGACGCCGGGGCAGCGATGCTCCGGGATGGACACCCATGCGTCACCACGTCTTCGGTAAGCGCCCTGGCCAAATGGCACGAGTGCCAGATAGAGGAGGTCAAGGCGAGCTCATGGATACAAACAATTGAACAAATTCGGACCTTACCCCAATTTCACTGGCATGGCGGCACACCTGGCCAGCGGCGAGAAAAATCAGAAATTGGCCGCCAGTAGTGCTCGGTTGCGCCAAGGTGAGGGTCAAGCTGCTAACTGGCTTTCCTGTCTAACTACTAGAACGCCAAATTAAGGTGTGGTGTCCCGAACCGCACGTATTTGTCGTGCGAAGTGGGCAATTCTGTCGATGACAAGGGCAGGCCGGGGCTGCAGCGAAGCAGCGATCGCGCGTGGGGCTGTCTCACAGGGCCGGTGCAACAAAACGATGTGAGGGCGGGTAGTGACACCGTGACACAGGCATTAGTGCGATGTGACTACGGAGGCAGGCAGTGGCTCGGCGAGTAGGTGATTCAAGCGGCGAAAATAGTGCAACGTCGGTAAGACGACGGCCACTGCGACATCGGCTTGGCCCCGTGCACGGCTTAGCCGGCAGCACACACGCAGCAGAGACAGTGCCATCGGACAGGGCTAGGCAGCGGCGCAGGATTGCAGAGAGCGCGGATGCGACGGCAAGGTGATGGCGGCGGCAGTGGCTCCGTCACGACGCGGGGTGGGGCAGGCGACAACAGCGGCGGCTTCGCGTGGCGGGGCCAATGGCGACCGGGCCGCAGCCGGGCCAGAGGCAGCCACGGCCGGTCACGCGCGGTAGCGCGGTGACACCGAGCGCCCGAGCATGGTGACCATGTCCACCCGGCGAGCCAGCCCAAGAATGTGTCGTGCACGAATTTTAAAGCGTCTATAAAAACTAAACGGTTGCTTCTGGACCTAAACCATCTTCATCATGCTCAAGATGGCATATGAGACTACCAAATCGAGTTATAGCACTACACCACTCTTTAACCCAATCTCTCAAAATAATTTGCTAAACATAGCAATGTCTTGCTGTTGACAAACTTGAAATTTTTCCTAACTTTTGAGCTGAACTTGATTTCAATCTGTAATTTCTAGGCTGGTAGAAATATCAGTTAGTAACAATATTTTTCAATAGCAAGTATTCCACTGTCATCTATAAAGTTAGTACTTCAAACTTTATTTAAGTATCACACACATGTTCTATAGTATTTTTGCTTAATAAAAATTGATTTTTAATCCTACTTGATATACATGAGCTATTGAATCAACATTAATTTAACATTTTTAATGGTTATTTTAGGCTATAAGAAATTTATCAACACCTTTTATCACATGCATTATTACATAAACATGAAGCTCATCACATGATTTAATAGTTTGTTCTCCGATGTGGAACTGCAGCATTCTGTAGACCTGCAGCAAGCTATGAGTCTGGCACGGGCATACGAGCAGGGCCAAGTGGAGGCTTCCACTGTTAACAGTTCGGCGGCACCAAAGTCTTCTACACGCCGCCCTTCTGCTTCTGCCAGTGCTGCAGGCTCTGGTGCCAGTCTACAGGACGGCAAGCCGGACACGACACGTTCTCGTTTTCGTCGCCTCACACAAGCTGAGATGCAAGAGAAGCGGCAGAACGGGCAGTGCTACTTCTGCCCGGAGCCTTATTCCAAGGATCACAAGTGTGCCGCTAAGGGCGTCTTCCTCATGGAGCTTGCGGAAGGCGAGGAGGACCCGCTCGGCGAAGATGTCACCAACTTGGAGATATCTTTACACGCCCTCACCGGCCTTGGACCTGCTAACTCCATGATGCTGCAGGTGGTGATCGGTGGTGTCCAGCTCAAGGCCCTGGTGGATACAGGCTCTACGCACACCTTCATTCGTTCTGAGGTGGCTGCTCGTTTAGGCCTGGTGGTCACCGAGCGTGCTGAACTGTCCGTGATGGTGGCCAACGGTGATCGCGTGTGCAGCCCCGGAGTGTGCCTCGCCACGGACATCCTCATCCATGACTTGCGCTTCTCCGTCGACTGCTTCGCCCTTGATTTAGGCAGCTTCGATCTCGTCCTCGGCGTTCAGTGGCTGCGCACCTTGGGGCCCATCGTCTGGGATTTCGACGCCCTTTCGATGGCCTTCTGGTTCAATGGTCGTGCACATCAATGGCGTGGATTGGGCAGCAGTGGCATGGCCGTTGTCGATCCCCGCGCCGTCTTGGAAGACCTGCTGCTGTCCTACGCGGATATTTTTGAGGCGTCTCGTGGTCTGCCCCCGGGATGCCGTCACGACCACCGTATCCACCTCGCTCCAGGCTCGCCTCCCGTCGCTGTGCGGCCTTACTGTTACCCACAGCTTCTCAAGAACGAGATTGAGCGGCAGTGTGATGATATGCTGTCACAAGGGATCATCCGGGAGTCGACATCGCCATTTTCCTCCCCGGTGCTCCTAGTGCGCAAGCATGACGGCAATTGGTGCTTCTGCGTCGACTATCGGGCTCTCAACGACTGCACTGTCAAGGATAAGTTTCCTATTCTGGTGGTCGATGAGCTTCTTGACGAGCTGAAGGGCGCCTGCTTCTTCACCAAGATTGATCTCCGCAGCGGGTACCATCAAGTGCGCATGCACCCCGACGACATCGTCAAGACCGCGTTCCGAACACACCACGGTCATTTCGAGTTCCTTGTCATGCCTTTCTGCCTCACTAATGCTCCTGCTACTTTTCAAGCACTAGTGAATGCCATTTTGAAGCCGTATCTCCGTCGCTCTGTGCTTGTGTTTTTTTATGATATTTTGATCTTCGGTTCTTCTTGGGTGGAGCACTTACAGCACGTCCGGACAGTGCTACAGCAAATGCGTGTGCACCACCTCTTCGCCAAATGCTCAAGTGTTTTTTTGTGAAACCTCGGTGAACTACCTTGGCCACATTGTCAGTGCTGCAGGTATCGCCATGCCCCCGGTGCTCCTATAACAATTTTTTAAGTAAAAAGTATCTTGAGTTTGATTAACTATAAATAAAAAATATCAATATTTATAATATCTAAGAAATATCATTAGATTTTTTATGAGATATATACTTTTAAAATATACTTATTTAGTATCATAAACATTAATATTTTTATCTATATATTTGGTCAAATTTTAGACACATTCACAAAAAATGCAACTATAATTGTATTTATGGACAGAGGTACTTCCCTTATTTAAGACTACAACATTTTGGTTTTTTTATACATTATTTGCATTGTGTACCTAGACATAACGTATATCTAAGTATATAGCAAAAGTTATATATCTAGAAAAATCAAAATATCTACAATTTAGAATAGAGTGAGTAGTATATATAATAGATATATAGATATTATAAAATAAAATAAAAACATACTTGTTACTCCTACGTGGCAAAGATAACAAAACACAGTATTTTTCTCTCACACCAAATCAGTCAACAGTACTTTCAGCCATGTCTTATCAGCCAATCAAACCTAAACGAACAGGGCGTTTACTTAATTTCAAGAGAGTAGTAGCTCCTTTTACGATGAAGATCATCAAATTTACTCACCATCCGTCGCCGGCAAGGCTGGCTGCGGCTGCTACTCATCACACGCCGCACGGCGCACGCGTACCCTTTCCGCAAAGGCTTGTGTGAAATGTGCAACTGCAGGTCTGCAGACACTTCAAGTTCCAACTGCAGCCAGTTCCTATTATATATGTAGTACTCCACTCATTCCAAATTATAAGTAGTTTTGACTTTTCTAAATATATATAGTTTTTTTTACATGTAGATATAGAAAAGACAGAATAAATAAAAATTTGGACGGAGTGAGTCCTACATATAACAGGAGCTCTCTCTCAGATCACTGAAATTCTCTAAGAAGACTGACGCACAGAAGAATATACACATGTCAGTCTGTCAGGTTAGAAGAAAAACAACTCCAGTCTCCAGTACCAAACAAACGAACCAACATATACCAGGCTATTTCTCCAAAGTCCTAACTGAACTCCTGCGCATAATCCATGTTCCACTGGGCGACTGAGCAACACCCCCCAACACAGCAGGTACTGCTACCTGGGATAGAACTGCGGACGAGGGTACAAGGGTGTAAAGGGTCCTATGTACTCAGGTGCCCCAAGTTGTGGCATGAACGACGATGCACCATGAACTCCAGGCCAGCCTGGCTGGGCAGGGTAACCATGATGGACTCCATGCATTGCGGCATATGGTGGACGCTCCAAGTCAGGTGCTCCAAGTTGTGGCATGAACGGCGATGCACCATGAACTCCAGGCCAGCCTGACTGGGCAGGGTAACCATGATGGACTCCATGCATTGCGGCATATGGTGGACGCTCCAAGTCGCCTCTCAGTGCCGCGTTCCACATTGCAGGATAACCCTGTGTTGGTGGCTGGTGAGTGCGTTGCCTCAGCCGTTTCTGATGTTTCTGTTTGTTCTGTTGCTGCTTCTCTTCTGGCTTATCTTCTTGTTTCCGTTTCTTCTCTTCCGGCTTATCTTCTTGCTTCTGTTTCTTCTCTTCCAGCTTATCTTCTTGCTTCTGTTTCTTCTCTTCCGGCTCATTTTCTTGTTTCTGTTTCTTCTCTTCCAGCTTATCTTCTTGTTTCTGTTGCTGCTCCTGTTGAGGCTTCCTTTGTTTTTTCTCCGGCTTCTCTGCCAGCTCACTCAGTTGCCCTCGCATCTGGTTTTCTTGTCCCTTGTGATGCTCCTGCTCCTGCTCTATCTTGGGCTTCTTCTTACTCTTTGTTTGTTGCTGCTGTGAATTTGAAGTTGAGGCTGTCAAGGGATCTGCTAAACTCCGCTTCTTTTTTTCAAGCTCACCTAACAAAATGTTGATTTCTTCCCTGATACTGGTACAGAGGTTGGAGTTGGTGATTTCCTTCTTAGCCAAAACTTTTGCACTTCTTAGATTATCAAGCTCCTTTATTATAACCACCCTCTGCACACAGGAAGATGCAGAACTATTAAACTAATAATATAGCAGAGATGAAGCAGATTGAGATGAATTATGAATATATATTTGCCCCCATAAGAATATTACATGTTTCAAAATGAAACTTTATAAGGAAATAGGCCACTCCAAATAGCTCAAGCATAAGACATTAAATTTCCTCAATTTTTCTTATGAAACTGGGTGAAACAACCACAGTCGTGTAAATAAATTTAAAAAATGTATTGTGCCACTAAAATCAATTTCTAGCACATACCAACTGGCGTGTCATATTCTTTTGAGATATCTCCATAGCAGTCTGTTTTGCCTTTTCGACATATCCCTTCAGAAGAGAAAGTGGAGGATACTTGTCCACCATATTAAAAATGCGTGCCAAACGTAAAACATCCATTTGCTGCCCATTTCCGATCAAATAGTCCATTAACTCTACAAAAAAAGATGAAAGCAGGAAAAACATTAACAAGCAGACCTTACACTGCAGATGAGGTGGAGTCAGAGTTGAAATGATGGTTCAGAACATGCATTCTGATGACTCAGCATGCAAATATGCAAAGCAGCAATGAACTAAATCATCAACAGATCAAGTGCATAGCGATATACTCACTGAGGAGGCTATAATATACCCAAATGAATCAAATATATCCATCAATATCATATTACAAACTATACTGCTTGGATTTATGTCATGCGAAGGCTCAGTCCATGAAATGTACAAAAATGTTATTTCACCCAGATTTCAGAAAATTTCTTGCATGTGATTTCGATCAAGAGGTGGTGCCATGGCAGGCTGGCACAATTGGCAGCAGGTAGGTATCAAGGAATAGGTCCATAAAGGCAGCAGCCAAGCATCAAAGAATAGGTTCACATGGGAACAGCACACGAAAACGGGTAAGTGATATAATGTTGACTCTCAGCCTCAGATTATTGATAGTTTCATCATGAAAACTAGGATTACTTAATTAGTCCTCTGTGCATCTTAAGCTACCGACTTGCATTGACTGCTACTGCTCACTTGAAGTGAGGAAAAAGTATGCAAATTTTTAAATATCATGGATAACAGGATAAGTACTTTTGCCATAGTCATCTGTGAACTGTGTAGTACAAGGCTGTAAGCGTAAAAATAAAATGCTTAAACCATAAGGCGACTCTGAATTTACGTAATGAGCAGATATTAAAGATCCAACATATTATGTTTTCCCAGCACAGTTTGAGCAAAAGTGCAGAACATATTATAGTTAATAATGCCGAAAGATGTGGTTGTACCTGGGATTCTATTGCCGAGCCCAAGACCCTTTAAGAGCATGGTAGATTTCTTCTTCTGTTTTAACGAGATGTTACCAAAGAGACAGAAGATCTCCTTCGTATCAAACTCAGTTACAATTTTATAGGAGATAAGGAAGTTAAGGAGGCCCCACGAGGCTAGGGCTGCCAACGACATTGCAACTCTCTGGATTGTCAATCATCTCCTTCCAATCCTTAGCCACCCGCTTGGCCTGCTCAATCGTGTCGGCAGAAGGCTTGGTAACAACTACAGGTACCATTTGAACTAGCCCAACACAGCTTGCCCAGACCTTCCTGGTCTTAACAAATATCTTGTTGTGTAGGAATAGCTCAATTACATGAAGAGCCAGTGCTGCAGCATCTGGAGCACGGCGAACTGCAGCATGAAACTCTGAATTGAATTCGGTGTTGGTGCATATGAGCTCGACCAACCTCTGTGCATCCATGTTTGTGCATGCTACAGTGCGATCGTCAGATCTACATGGAACAGCCCGATTGCCCCGGTCTGAAGACACCTGGTCCGTAACATTTTTGGCACCTTCCACCTTCTCATGAACGTCCTGCTCTTGCTTCTTGTCGCAAGTCTCCACCTCCTTGTGCTGCACTGAAGACGCCATCTTGGCCGCTGTCTCATCCATGTTGGTATCCTGATCCTCCTCCTCCTTGTCCTGAGAAGCCTTCAAAGCATCTTTGGTATTCAGCCCGCCCTTATCATTATCAACCACCTGAATCTCCTTGTCAGGATCCTGCTCGTTCACCTTACTGGCCTGCTCCTCCTCCCTTGCCTCCTTCTCATCCTTTATCTCATTGCCAATCTTGACGTTGGCTGCCTCCTCAACTTCCTCTTCCTCCACTACCTCTTCTCTGCCCCCCTTCCTGTCCTTTTCATCATTGCAAATTTTATCGTAGCCGGCTTCTTGCATCTCCTCATCGGCCTTCTTCTCCAGCTCTGTCACCACCTCCTCCACTTCCACCTCTCTGGTCTCCTTCGTATCCTTTTCATCATTGCGAATCTTATTGCTATTGGCTTCGTGCATCTCCTCATCGGCCTTCTCCAGCTCCGCTACCTTCTCCTCCACTTCCACGTCTCTGGCCTGCTTCCCATCCTTTTCATAATTGCAAATCTTATCGCTGTGGGCTTCCTGTATCTCCTCATCGGCCTTCTTCTCCTCCTCCTCCTCCACATCCACCGCGACCTCCTCCTCCACTTCCACCACCTCCTCCTCTTCTTCGTCCTCCTCCAACTCCTCCTCCTGGTTTTCTCCCTTCCCATCGCCGCGAGTTCCACCCAACGCGGCAGCAGCGGGTGCAGCGCCGGCGGCCTCGAGCACACGGAGCTGGCGAAACCGCAGCGCGATTGACGACTGGAGCGAGGAGATGTGGCCGTCGAGGTCCTCCCAGGCGAAGGAGAGCGGCGAGGGGGAGCAGGCGGCGAGGCGGTCGAACGCCTCCCGCAGGGCGTCCCGCTTGCCGGGCAGGGCGGCGATGGCTGCCTCCAGCTCCGCCACCGTCATCGCCATTGGATCCCGGTGATCAGGGCTGGCCTGCGCCATCGGCCGGGAGGGTGTAAGCGGGTTGGGGTTTTGGAGCGGCGGCGGATTGCATGGTGGTGGTTCCCATCGCGAGTTCGACGGCGAGTCGGCGAGGAGCGGAACAGACACGTTTCTCCTGGGCTCCTGGCAAGGTTGCGAACGGACCCGGCGGTGCGTCTGGCCAGGCCGGGCCGGGCTAAAGGGCGAAGGCCCAATGGGATTGAAAGTTCCTAAAGGAGTATAACTTTTTTGCCGATGACGACCAAATCTTACAAGACACATTAGGGGGAAAAAATCGACTTGGTTTTTGGAACACATTTCTAACATTAATTTAACAATTTTTTCTCAAAAGAAATTTTGTATTTGTTAAAATATTGCACAAAGCTCCCAAAATGTCTACCTGAAAACTTTATCATTTTCTAAAACAAAATTTGTGTACAACTTTTTTTTTAAAAAAAAATTGCTCACACAAAACTTTTCTTTGAAAAAAAGATTAAAAAACCAACTGACAAGCTTTTGTATCAATTTTTTTCGAAAACTAAGGGGATCCATTATCATTTTTTGGGGAGGTAGGGGTGGTTGTTGAGGGGTGAGCACAGGAAAGAATGCAGACTTAAGGGTCTCGAAAGAGGATCGGTAGAAATTTGACAGAGGGATTATATATTTTTGTGGAATATTTGAAAAAAAAACCTGAAGAATGATTCATCTTCCAAGTATGGCGATGCAAGAGCTGCAGGTGATGTTTATCAAGGAAGACATCGACTTCTACAATGGTATGTTGTGAACAATGTTACAACCTAGAGCGTGTTTGGAGGAGCTCCTACCTGCTCCCTGTAGAGGCACTATGGTGGAAATCGTGGATCCGGTGGCTCCTCCTCTCTCCCGTTGATTTGTGTTAAAGCCAAAGCTATTTTTTTACCTATATATTATAGACCTACAGTGATCAACAATGTTGATTTGTGTCAAAGCCAAAGTTATTTTTTTACCTATATATTATAGACCTACAGTGATCAACAAATGTTATAGAGAAGCCAAAGCACCTAGGAGCTGAACTAAGGAAGACATGTTGGTTGTGCCCGGGTCCGGTCGATGAAAGCTAAAAACGCTGTGCACCCATCTGTGGTATGTTTGGTGGAAAGCTGCAGGGTGCTTTCTACTCTCTCTCTCTCTCTCTCTCTCTCTCTCTCTCTCTCTCTCTTCTTGACTCTTCTTTGGTTTTTTTATTTCCTTTCGGTGGTCTTTTTTTTTTTCTGTTACTAGATATATGCCCGTGCATTGCATGAAGGGCTATGTATTTTTACGGGCCACGGTGACACATGTGGCCCTGTGCAACTCATGGTTATATACCTGGTATAGGTAAAAATATTAATGCTCGTGACATCAAATAAATATAGTATGAAACTATATTTCTTTACGAATTTAATGGTATATATTTACTATGATAAATATTATTATCTTTTATATATTGAAATTTGACATACGAAAACATGAGTACAATGTAGGGCTGGTAACTCTCAGGATGTCCAGAGGGGAGATTTGTATTGTTCGTTTTTACTTAGAGCTCTCATATCAGAAAATCTCATACGGGAAGGATGTACCCCAATTAGACATGTAAACCTAATTTTCTCTGGAAATATTGTGTTGGGCCTTCTTAGGCTTCTCAGGCCTCGCATAGTTGGCAATTGGTATGGGCCAACCACTATGGTCTTTGAGTGAGGCAGGAATTTCGCTTGGAAATATACAGCGACGGGATTGCCAGGTTGATGGGCCAAGTGGGGCAGCGGTCGTCCCAACGGCAACCTCCCATAGTCGTCGTCAGCATTCATAGCCGCGTCGGGCGCCGACCTCGCAGATGTTCTCCGCAAGGCGCAAGCATGTCCTCCTCGATTACATCAGCCCCACCGACCTTCGCCGCTTGCCCGCCTGCGTCCGTGAAGCTCGTTACCACGCTGTTCCAGAATCGAGATCACCAGTCGTCTCCCTTGCCATTGTCCACTCGCCGACATCGTTTGCAGGTTCAAACGCCACAGTCCTCGTGGCGTCTAGAGTTCTGAGCGCCAGCGGCCGCGTCAACATCACCCGCATCAAAGCCGACGTGCGTGCCTAGTCCATCAACTTGCGCTCTAGTTTCACTTAGATCCATCAACTCTGAAAGTAAATTTTTAGGTTCATAATCTTTATCAGTGGCGCACTCTAGCACATACCCCTTTGTTTCAATTTTTTAACTGACGTGGTTGTCCATCGTGGCGTCCAGGTTAGATTTGGCGAGAGAGCACGCGCCTGTGACCTCATGCTGCGCCTGCGACCTCATGCCGGCAAGGAAGCACGCGCGGCCCCTCTCGGTACTCCCTCTCGTCGGACACGCTTGGCTCGGCTCACCAGATTAAAGCCACAGCGCTTTTGCACTGTGGGTCGCCGGACAACGCCAGCATGGCGCCGACCAGCTCAGCAGATCCTCGGCGAGTACCGGCGCTTCGCTAAAATTTGCGGCGGCGCAGCGACGGTTCGTGGTGCTCATGCACGCCAAAGCGTCCATGGCGGCGGAGTCGCCTCCTCGGCGCTTCGCGCCACCGGATCTCGTGATGGTGCTCGGCGTCGGCGGGAGCATGGAGGCCACAAGTTGGAGCTGGTGAAGCGCGCCATGGGGTTCCTCATCGACAACCTCAGCTCCGGCGACCGCCTTCGGCGTCGTCGCCTTCTCGACGACGGGCGCCGTGTCATCCGGTGACGCGCATGTCCGAGGGCCAGGAAGGCTGCTGCGCCAAGCACGCGGTGGAGTCTCTCGCCTCGTCCGGCTCTACCAACATCCGCGACGGACTCGACGTATTACTATGGTGCTCGACGGCCGTCGGCACAAAACGTCGTCGCCGCGTCATCCTCCTCTCCAACGATCAAGACAACCAGAGCGGGCAAGATGCTTGCTTCCGCCGCCTACAATAGATTCAACATGGCCAACACCTCGACATCCTTGTGCCACCGTCTATCGTGCCCACCGCCGGCAACCGACGACCGATCTTGCGCCGGTGCACACGTTCGGGTTTGGAATCGACCACGACGCGACGGCCATGCACTTCATCTCGAGAGGTCACAGGCGGCACCTTCTCCTAAGTCGAGAACCACGCCGTCATCCGGGACGCGTTCGCCACGATGCATCGGCGAGCTCCTTTCCGTCGCCGTGCGTAAGCGTGCATCTCCCTCGAGTGCTCGCACCCGGCGTCGCGCGTCCGGAGGTCAAGTCCGGCAGCTTACGAGAGCGCGCGACGCGCCACGGTGGGCGTCGGCGAGCTCTCGCCGACGAGGAGAGGCGCTTCGCTCTTCATGGATGTGCCGTGGGCCTACTCCATCGACGAGGTGGCCACGCGCTGTTTCAAAGTCAGTGCACCTACCTCGACACCGCGACCGGGCGATCGGTTGACGTGGCGGCGAGGGACGCCGTGGTCTGCGACCATTGGAGGCGACGGAAGTGGCGCCCGTCCATGGAGGTCGGCGGGAGTGTGTGCGTGGAAGGCGGCGGAGAGACATGGCTCGGTGCACCTACCTCGACACCGCGACCGGGCGATCGGTTGACGTGGCGGCGAGGACGCCGTGGTCCTATGGCCATTGAGGCGGCGGAAATGGCGCCATCCATGGAGGTCGGCGAGGCGCATGCGCATGGAGACGGCGGAGAGACATGGCTCGCGCGCGGGCGCAGCCAGCGCTGGGCGCTTACTGCGAGGCCACAGCGCATCCTCGACGCCTGTCGGGATCTGCTTGAAAAGCCAAGCGCCAAGCCAAGACTTGTCCGGCGACCCGTTGTGCAAGCGCGCTGGTGGCCGAGCTGCACGCAGTGAGCCAACAACGCTGTAAAGCGACGAGAGGAGTACCGAAAGAGGGCCATGCGTGCTTCCTTGCCGGCATGAGGTCGCAGGCGCGTGGTCTCTCGCCAAATCCAACCTGGACGCCACGATGGACAACCACGTCGGTTAAAAAATTGAAACAAAGGGGTATGGATTAGGAGTGCGCCATTGGCAAAGATTATGGACCAAAAAACTCACTTTCAGAGTTGATGGACCTAAATAAAACTAGAGCGTAAGTTGATGGACCACCCATGCATGTAACTCTTTTTTTAATAGCTCCACCATCTCCTTCCTCTCGGTCTGCACTTTCCATCTTCCTAAACAGTGTCCCTCGTTTGGAAAATCTCTAAGGCACTGGTATCCTTGACTGTCGTAGCGCGTAGGCCCCCAGCGGCATGACCTATTCGGCTGGTATTAAAATCGGTAGATAAGCCGGCTGAAGTTGATTTATTGTGAGAGAAAAATACTGTAGATTCTAGCTGAGGCATCACAAGTGAAACCATCACTACTAGATGAGATGAGGTGAAAGTAGAAGTGCTACAAGAAGGGTTAGCGGGAGCAACAATGATAGGCTTATATAATGATTCATCAATTATATCACAAGTTAAGCCTACATTACAAGTCTCAACATGCTTCTTCTTATTTTGCTCATCAAGCAAAGAGGAATGAGCTTTTTCAAGCTTCTTGTGAGCCTTACCAAGTCTCATGGGCTTTCTCTAGCCTCTCATGAGTTGCTTTGAGCTCATCAAGAGCTTGCTTAAGGGCTTTTACTTTCTTATGCAAGCTTTTGCATTCCCTTTTCTTAATGTCAAAGTGTTCTTTAGCATCATCTAGCATGTCAAGTAGTTCATCCTTAGTTGGTTCATCATTATCACTATCACTTTCATTTTTATTATCATTATCATGTTCCTCATCACTTCTATCATCACAAGTTTATACCTTAGTGGCCTTAGCCATAAAGCATGATGAAGTGTCGAAGAGAGAAGGTTTCTCATTGATAGCAATGCTTGCAAGTGCCTTCTTCTTGGTGGTCTTGTCATCATCACTATCATCATCATCACTTGAGGAAGCATCACTATCCCAAGTGACCACATATGAACCACTCTTTTTCTTCTTCTTGAAGGTCATCTTGTCCTTCTTCTCTTTCTTTTTCTTCTTGTCCTTCTTCTTGTTCTTCTTGTCATC